TTATTATTTATTTATATTTATTTAAAATCTTATTAATTACATAATATTTTTTTAAAAACACTATATAAAAATAGATTGCCGCTGATGGCGGTGTCTACGACACAAGCCACCAGTGGTTAGGACTCCAGAGTGAGAAACCTCCTCACAATGCGTGCAGTATCGAGGATAACTGCTTTCTGTATTAGGCCCTTAACCCAGCTGGATAACGAAAGTTTCTTAAGATGTTGATCGAAACTTTTCGCCATCAAGCCGTGTACCGANGAGAAACCTCCTCACAATGCGTGCAGTATCGAGGATAACTGCTTTCTGTATTAGGCCCTTAACCCAGCTGGATAACGAAAGTTTCTTAAGATGTTGATCGAAACTTTTCGCCATCAAGCCGTGTACCGACACAACTATTGGAACAATGATGGTTGAATCAACATGCCACATGGCGGTAGTCTCGTGGGCCAGGTCTAAATTTTTATTAATTTGTCCTTTTCTGCCTTCACGAGGTTCTCGTCATGAGGAATGGTGACATCAACCAACACTGCTCGAGGTCACGGTCGGGCACAATGTCTGAAACACAGAGAACATTCTTGAGCGATACGCAGAAAGGTTGGTTTCTCCCTCCGTAGCCTCATAGTACGCTCGCATTATTATTATCATTATTATTACCTTTTTTACTTTCGCAATATAGGCCACAGTCATAAAGTGATAAGTATAATGTGACTGCTGTCTGTATAGTCGATTCTACTTCTCGCGTTGAACGAGCGAGCACTAACGTGAGGCAAGCTTGTATGATTAATAATTATTATAAACTGTAATTTTCTCTTTTGTCTTCAGTTTTGGATTCTGATAACCCCTTAACAACGAGTACCTAAGCTGTTTGCTTATTTACAACGATTAAAAAGTGTTAAGTAATTAACTCGAAAATTAAAAAATACTCTAATGCCCGTATCTTTAGACGTTTCGTAAAATAGTCCTCCACTCTTAACTCATCCGATGATGCTCGAGAATTCCCTCCAAACTTACTGAAGTTTGGTATTTTTAGTCGACCATTACAATATTCCTCAACTGTCCTCGAGTGAGGTAATAATGATGAAAATTTGATCAAGCTAGCATCAAACCCATAGAGTTCTGTAGTCTATGGTCATTGTTTAATGTCAAAGTCAAGCTGCCGCTGTCTGTTTGACACTAGATGAACTTGTTTGATGTTTTGGTTGCTGAGTTATTCGTAAATATGTGTGCGTGCGGTAAATCTGAAAGTGTATTATTTATTTTCTAACCTATTATTATTTTAGATTTCGGATCCGGCTTTGTATTTTTATTCGCCGCTTTTGTGTGATTTTGGTTGCATCGTGTTGTTGAAGTGCTTTTCCACAACCACCAGTTTATTATTATATAAATAAAACTTATAATCGCATTGACTTTATTTATCAGGTAGTAAGCAAAATATGTCTCTTATGTAGGTAAATAAAATAAAGAGTTTCAAATGTCTAACCTCGAACTATTTACTTTATTAATAAATATTATCAAACTTAAATTATCAAAATACGCGGGAATCATGCACAGATCCAGGCCATTGCACAACAATATCATATATTTCCATTTGCGGTCCGTTCCGTCCTTGAGGAACGTTCAAGGTACGTCGCGACGTACCTTGATTTGACAGTTCGCTTACTTCACTCCGGTTAGGAAAATTAATTTTAAATTAATAAAGTAAATAGTTCGAAGGCTGGTTTTCTATCAATGTCCAAATAGTATGTGGACCGCAAATGGAAATATATGATATTGTTGTGCAATGGCCTGGATCTGTGCATGAATCCCGCATATTTTGATAATTTAAGTTTGATAATATTTATTAATAAAGTAAATAGTTCGAGGTTAGACATTTGAAACTCTTTATTTTATTTACCTACATAAGAGACATATTTTGCTTACTACCTGATAAATAAAGTCAATGCGATTATAAGTTTTATTTATATAATAATAAACTGGTGGTTGTGGAAAAGCACTTCAACAACACGATGCAACCAAAATCACACAAAAGCGGCGAATAAAAATACAAAGCCGGATCCGAAATCTAAAATAATAATAGGTTAGAAAATAAATAATACACTTTCAGATTTACCGCACGCACACATATTTACGAATAACTCAGCAACCAAAACATCAAACAAGTTCATCTAGTGTCAAACAGACAGCGGCAGCTTGACTTTGACATTAAACAATGACCATAGACTACAGAACTCTATGGGTTTGATGCTAGCTTGATCAAATTTTCATCATTATTACCTCACTCGAGGACAGTTGAGGAATATTGTAATGGTCGACTAAAAATACCAAACTCGAGTAAGTTTGGAGGGAATTCTCGAGCATCATCGGATGAGTTAAGAGTGGAGGACTATTTTACGAAACGTCTAAAGATACGGGCATTAGACCTTCAATTTATAATACAACGATAAACTAAAATTGAAATTTTAGACGAAAATGTTTTTCAGCTAAATGAGGTAGGTCGTACATTAAGAAACGTGTGCAGCATCGTGCCGGGCGGTGTTGTGTGCTTCCTACCGTCATATTCCTATGAACAAACTGTCTACGATCATTTGAAAAACAATCATATTATTGATTTTATAAGCAAAAGGAAGAGCGTATTCCGTGAACCAAAATCTGCAGCTGATGTTGAACAAGTAAGAGTAGTTTTATTTAAAAAAAAAAACATTTCGCTACATAGATTGTTAGTTTGTATTCGTTTGCATGTCCCTAATCAATAAAGTGCTCTGATAGGATATCGTCATACACTGATTTTTTAAGGGCCAACCTAGGGTTGGTGATTTAGGTGAGAGCATCTAGGAAAATATACTTACAATTTCTATAATTTCCATTGAAAGCAGAAAACTTTCTAGCTCACTTGATGAAAAGTTGTCACCGTTGCACTTCCCGTAGAACCCGTCGCTTGCGACGAAGGGCTCGACTAGTAAAGTAACCCATAGACACAGCCCACGGCCCACATGCCCATGTATGGTATATTTTTCTAATTTTTTTTTTATTGCTTAGATTGGTGGACGAGCTCACAGCCCACCTGGTGTTAAGTGGTTACTGGAGCCCGTAGACCTTTACAACGAAAATGCGCCACCCACCTTGAGATATAAGTTGTAAGGTCTCAGTATAGTCACAACGGCTGCCCCGCCCTTCAAGCCGAAACGCATTACTGCTTCACGGCAGAAATAGGCGCGGTGGTGGTACCTACCCGTACGGACTCACATGAGGTCCTACCATAGAGAATGGCTGGTTTCTTTTCAGAGCATTGTAGATATTGGTTTCTAGGTACGCTAACTATTGAATATATCGTTATGTTAGTGCTTGTTATTTTTTGTTTATAGGTACTTCACAAATATTCATTAGCTGTAAAAAATAAGGAAAAAAATGGAGCTTTATTACTGAGCGTCGTAGGTGGTAAGCTTAGCGAAGGCTTGAATTTTAGGTAAACATATTCTTTATTACCGTTTCGTAACGCCCCATCCCACATACTTTCATTTCGTTCTGTCTGTATGCTACAGACATTTTACCCGTACCTTATTGCCATAATGAAGTTAGGTGTACTCAAATCAATGATAAATGGCAATTACGATAAAACACTTCTCATTTCATTCAATTAACCCGTGTCGGTACAGGACACATGTCATAACGCTTCCTAGGCGTAATTGAATTATTTAGCTACATATTCTAAGTATGCGTTCTAAGGTCTCCGTTGTTACAGTACAACGGCTGCCCCACCCTTCAAACCGAAACGTATACTGCTTCACGGCAGAAATAGGCAGGGTGGTGGTACCTACCCGTGCGGACTCACAAGAGGTCCCACCACCAGTAATTACGCAAATTATAATTTTGCGGGTTTGATTTTTATTAAACGATATTTTTTCTCATAAATCAAATCATTAAAAAAAATTGATGCCGAATTTTTTAACGCCATTGTAATATTCCAATTTATTTTAGCGACGATCTGGGGCGTTGTGTGATAGTCGTGGGAATGCCGTATCCTAATGTGAAGTCGCCAGAGCTGCAGGAGAAAATGTCCTATTTGAATAGAACCGCAGGTGGTAATGCTGCTAACATTTACTATGAAAGTTTGTGTATGAAGGCAGTCAACCAATGTATAGGTATGTTTTAAAAATAAACTTTCAAATGAAATCGTGGTAGAGGCTTTTGAAATATTTTAAATTAATATGTAAAGCATTAGTGAGCAAATTCTACTAATAAAACTAAACACAAAAGTTTGTAAGAATGTATGTATGTTTGAATGGATTTTTATGAAACTTTATAATAATATAGCTTACACATCAGAATAACACATAGGCACATAATATAATTAAAAAGATATAGTGTTCATTACTCAAATAATAATATAATGATGAGTGCTAAGAAGGAAAAAATATTTTTTGTTTGTATCAAAAATTTGCAATAAGATCAATAATTACATTTCCCGAAGCGAAGCGAAAACAGGTCGCCAGCAATAGTATAACTTGAAAAAAATAAATTTCATCTTTATTGATTAAAATCATCTAGATTAACACAGAATTGCGTTGATAAAAAGTAACAGTATTATTTAAAATAAACCTTCAATGAACCTTTAATTGCAGGTAGGGCTGTTCGGCATATTAATGACTATGCAACTGTGCTGTTAATAGATGAAAGATATTCGAGAGTCCAAACGATATCAGCTTTACCTTCATTTGTACAGGTAAAAAACCATAAGTAAGCATAATATAGGAGTAATTTTAACTTTTTAATAATAAAAATTAATGAAATTACTTTTTTCAGAAATCATTAATATCAAACTCCAGTTTTGGTCAAATGATCGGAAGCATGGCAAAGTTCTTTTCAAGGCACAAGGAAATAAAAACAAATTGAATGAAATAATTCAAAAGCTTTGACAATACTATAATAGGGATAATAAAATATAATAAATAACTTATAAAACTACATATTATTTAATTTGTTTTAAAATAAATCCGCAAAGGGAATAACACAATATTTTAAAACAAACAGAAATAATAATAAAATATTAATATAATTCATACATAATTTTTTCTTAAAAGCTAATCAGCCAGTGCTTGTGGCAGTGTTGTACCACAAGGTCCTTCGAAGTAAAAATGGAAATCAGGTGTGGCCGGTGTTGGTTCTATATTAAATTCTGCTACAATTGCACCCCTCGAAGCTGCTTGCGGAGCAAACATTGCTGCAGGATATACCACTGATGATGTACCAACAACTAGGCATGCATCACAGGTGGACATTGCATGTTCTGAAAAAGTGGTATATTGGCTTTAGTAATATTATGAAACTGATTGAATTCTTACCATTTAATTACAAAATTTTGGGAATAATTTAAAGATTTCGGTACCTACTTTGTTTTCTGCAATATGTTCAATATATTTGTTCAAAATATACTGTTCACATTGTTATTATATTTAAAAAACGTTGCAGGTAGTGCAAAACTACATGTAATTTCTTTTATGCACATTTTATTGTATGGATAGAAAACAGTATAGATAATTAATTAATATTAAATTATTATATACAGTAAAAAAATACTTACCAGCTGCTTCTAAAATATCATGTTCTAAACTTTCACCGAACCACACAATGTGTGGTCTTAGCAAGGCTCCACAATGAGCCTTTTTACAGTGTGGTAATAATTTCACAGGAATGTCAGAACCCACCATATTAGAATCTGGGGCTCCTCTATTTGCAAGTGCCTAATTGGAGGAAGAATAATACAAAATTAAATTAAGCTTTACCAAATAATAATTTATATAGGTTTTGAAAATGGTACCTCACATATAGGGCTGTCATTATTCACCAATACTTCCTTACATTTTGTACATCGAGTTTTGTATAAATTTCCATGAAGCTCTATCAATCTTTTCGTTCCTGCTCTTGCATGTAAACCATCCACATTCTGAGTAATTACTGTAATTTTTTTTTGGGATCCATGGTTATCTTCGAATTTAGCAATAGCAAAATGTCCCTGAAATTTACTCAGATTTACTATATAGTAGTTAGCAATAAAATTCAGTTATAACTTATTGTCTTGTATGTTACACTATGCTGCAGTTTATAAATGAGATAAAAAAATTAATGCTCACAATATAATAATTATAAGAACCATTTTAATATATATATATAATATTTGTTTACAGTTTATTGACATAGTTCTAATAAATCTGTGAATGTGCATGTTTGCATGTAATATGCAATTTTGAATCATTTGATGCTAAATCGCTTTTTTGTTTGATAATTACCGCATTAGGCTTCGCCTTTGCTGCCACCTCTCTTCTGTAGTGGTAAAATTCCCATACTAAGCTTGGACTTTCTCTAAAAGCTCCTGGTGTTGCTAAGGCCGAAGCTTGATATTTCCTCCAAAGCCCTCCAGCACCACGAAAAGTAGGTATTCCAGATTCTGCACTAATGCCGGCTCCAGATAAGATAACTATTTCTTTTGCCGATTTTAAAGCAACTCTGAACTTTGAGAAATCACTAGATTGTCTGGAACTCATGACTTTATTAATATAACAAGGAATGACTCTCTGATTTAGTGTTTTCAATAAATTATGGCACATCGTTTAAAGGTTAAAGGTTTAGGTAATAAATATTCATTTTATTCTGTTTACTACATACATAATGTGTCATTAATCTAAAGTACATAGATTATACACTTAATATATTCTAAAGTAGTAGGACTTGTTTTATTTTTCCAATTTGAAAGGCAAGGATATCGTACCATACAGCCTAATTTTTTATATATTTTATTATAGTATGAAAAATGATAGAAATCATATAAAATGAGATGAGATGATATGGAATGAAATATAATCTCAGTAAAATCCCAATGAGTACTCTGGTATTCATGTTCGGTGTCCATACGCCTCACTTTCAAAACCAGTGTGCTATAGTGCGAGTTTCTTAACGTTCTCGATAGCGTAAGAGTTAAGCTAATTTTGTATGCGGTTGGAACAGCGCCCCTAGCGGCAAAGGCACGCAATTTTTTTTTTTTTTTCCTACCTAAGCTGATAGCCTTGAGAGGCTATTTCAGCGTAACCGTGGCTAGTAGGTGAGCTCGCGGGGCTCAAACCTGACGACGATGCTAACACGAACCCTAGCGAGAGTCGTGCTTCGCAGAATCTACCACCGGATCGGAAACGCGACCCACTGAGAAGATCCGGCGAGAAACTCAGTGGGCTGTGTCTGAGAATTAATTTACTCGTCGAACCCTTCGTCGTAAATCATTCGTAAAGTGTGTGTCACGAAGTAGTCACCTCCGATCACAATGACGCAAATCAACAATAAATTTATTAATAAATGTTGTTCTTGGCTTTAGATTATTTGCGTTGATGCAAAACTTAATTCTTTCATATAGATTGTTGAATTACAATAGTATGAACTAAATTGCATGACACGGGTCGTCCGAAGTAAGCAATTACTCAAAATGTTCAACCTTTTTTTTTCTACAAGTATGCATGGCGCTGTGACTGTAGGACTCTGTTTATTTGGTACACCTAGATATACATACACGTATTTAGCATGTCCTTGACCAACTTAGGCTCTTCAAGCACCGGTCACCGTCCTCGAGCGAACTAACCCGTAGCCATAGTCCACTCAGTTTCTCACTCGATCTTTTTTTTTTTTTTGGATAGATGGATGGGCGAGGCACAGCCCACCTGGTGTTAAGTGGTTACCGGAGCTCATAGACATCTACAACGTGAATGCCGCATCCCACCTGGAGATATGAGTTCTAAGGTGTCAGTATAGTTACAACGGTTGCCCTAACCTTCAAACCGGAACTCTGATTACTGCTTCACGGCTGAAACAGGCAGCCAGCATAGGTGGTGGTACCTACCCTTGCGGACTCACAAGAGGTTCTACCACCACTAAAATCTTCTCAGTGGGTTGCAATTCCGATCTGGTGGTAGATTCTAGGAGGCACTGCTCTTGCTAGGGCTAGTGTTCGCAAATTTTCTCTGGTTTAGCCTGTGAGCTCACCTACTTGTCTGCACATAGCCGGAATAGACCCTTACGCTGCCAGCGAATAGGCAGGGGAAAAAATGACCGACTCCCATGATGAAGCAATAACATTCTACCTAATTACTGGAAGTCCAAAGGCAAGACAAAAGCGTTTCTTTTTTTATTTGCATAGCCAAGCGTGAAATTTTATCATTTTATGAAGCTTAAATTTCAATTAAAGAAACCAAAGCGAGCGTCACGCGAAATGGGCTCACTGATGACGTACCTAATTTTAATAATTATGGAAAATTCAGTGAATTGACTCTAAAATGTTTTTCAAATCGGTTATTGGAATTGCTAAATAATAGGAATTAGTAAATGGAAATTCTTTGTTTAGGCTAAGGTAATAAGTACAATTATAAGCATTGTTTTAATTGCCTTTGTAGGGAAACGTGCATACCACCAGGGCCGGATTTAAGCATAATGCCGCTCCTGGGCACCGGAAAAAAATCCGCCCCAATACTGGAATTTTACTTAAACTTATAGTTTATATATTTTATTTTTAAAAATAAAAGAACTAATTTAATGCAGAAACTTTATTACATGTTATATATTCCAAAAACATAATTATCTTCAACATAATAAAACATAATTATTTGTTTTTTTTTTTCGTACAATTATAAGCTTGGTACTAAGGGTGACTATAAGAGTCAAATACATTATTTTAAATCTACAAGGTAATAAATTGATTAAATCACTTAGATTATTAATTTTACCAATAGTACCAAAATAATAATTCACAAATAATGGATGAATTGAATTTCTTGACTTATGAATTAAACAGAAAATTATTAATTAATAGAATTAATTAATTATATTAGGAACGGGTTTCAAAATACTTCGAAGTTCTGGACAACTGCATTAATAACGCCCGCTCTGGCGAACTAAAACACCTGACGGGAAATCATCAATACAACCCGCATTTGTTTTCAGTAGGTAATTGTTACAAACGGTATCAAAACTACATTGTACTGCCGGCCAAGCGACCTTATCTATTACCAGTACATTTCCTAGTTTATTGTGTATGAATTGAATTGAATGACCGTTACGTTGGCGTTGTGTATCGCATCGTTTGGGTCGTTCAACGCGAGTAGTCCTTCTTGTTTTATCCGGTTCGTATTGCCCTATACCCATCTCTCAAGCATTTCTCATAGACAAAGAAAACACAGCGAACTCAGTATTTTTACAATTTATTAACGGTTGTCGGAATTTATATACAGTTTTTTTTTATTGCTTAGATTGATGGACGAGCTCACAGCCCACCTGGTGTTAGGTGGTTACTGGAGCCCATAGACATCTACAACGTAAATGCGCCACCTACCTCGAGATATAAGTTCTAAGATCTCAGTATAGTTACAACGGCTACTCCACCCTTCGAACCGAAACGCATTACTGCTTCACGGCGGAAATAGGTGGGGTGGTGGTACCTACCCGTGCGGACTCCCAAGAGGTCCTACCACCAGTAGGTCCTACAACAGATAGCTCTTGCCCGCGACTTCGTCCGCGTGGAATAGTTCACAAATAATGTTTTATTTTAGAACAAATTTGGTTAGCATAAAAAACATTATAGTGAGCCAACCTTAACATATAGACATATGGTGTCTTTTTTAGATCTTTTAAAGGGGAACACAACTTTAATCGTTTCTACAGCGCACGCAGCGGAAGCTTTCAAAAGGGAAAAAAAAACCGATTTTGAAACATTCTTTATTGGTGCTCCGTTTGTATTGGTCTTAGCGTGATGTTATATAGCCTATAGCCTTCCTCGATAAATGGGCTATCTAATACTGAAATAATTTTTCTAATCGGACCAGTAGTTCCTGAGATTAGCGCGTTCAAACAAACAAACTCTTCAGCTTTATAATATTAGTATAGAAGTATAGATTTGTTACGAGCTATATCCTACTATTTTACAATCCGTCTACATAGTAATAGTAGGAATCTTATTTGCACCCAAAACTTTCAGTAAATCCTGTCTTAATTTCAATGCCTTGCCTACTATTTCCACGGAGGGTTGATGTCGGGTATACGGGCAATCGTAAAACAGCCTTTTTTTTTTTTTTTTTTTTTTTTCCTACCTAAGCGGATAGCCTTGAGAGGCTATTTCAGCGTAACCTTAACTAGTAGGTGAGCTCACGGGGCTCAAACCTGACGACGTTGCTAACACGAACCCTAGCAAGAGCCGTGCTTCGCAGAATCTACCACCGGATCGGAAACGCGACCCACTGAGAAGATCCGGCGAGAAACTCAGTGGGCTGTGTCTGAGAGTTAATTTACTCGTCGAGCCCTTCGTCGCAAGCGACGGGTTCGACGAGAACGGTGACCGGTGCTTGAAGTACCTAAAAGCACCGTTAGTGGATCGGGAGGATCCGAGATGACGTGTTTTGGGCGACGTCGACTGCTTTCCATTCTGTCCGCAGGATCGGGAATGAAAACAGCCAAATCACTCTATAGCATATGAGACAGATGGGACACAGCCAACGTAATACTATCAAAACAATTGGTTTTATGATCAATATTACAAAAGATGCAAACAGTATTAAAATAACATAACTAAATATTATTATTATGAACGAGTAAGTGCGCATTTGATTTATCCAAAAATAGAATAATGCGCTAGACCAAAATAATTGGAATATGTGGAGAGTCGTTAATTGCATGTGGAGAGAGCGCGGTGTTATATACTCCCAACACCTGTATGCTTCATGAGCCATTGACGTCATGAGGTCCACGCAGGCGCATTTTACAACGTCGCAATCATACGAGGGTTAGGAGATCAGAACGCGGCACGCTCTCTAGGCGCGCAGACGATACCGCATTTTCAGAACTCCGTTAGCTACGCGGGAAACCACGGCAGTGAGTATATTATTATGTCAATTACGTATTTTCAACAAAATGTCTTTACAGTACACAAAAATAATCACACAATGTCTATATTTTTTTTCTAATTCGTCAGAATTGGATTCCAGGTGATACTTATTAAATTTAGGACTGCTGATTAGTATTTTATCTAGAACTTGTACGAAAACGGGAATTTTCATAAAGTTCACTTCTTCTTGTTCATAAAACTAATGGTTTACTAGTTTACTTTTTCTATGTTTATAAAACTATCTATTTTGTCAATATCGCGACAACTATTAGGTACTATCTAAACTTTGATTTAGTTGTTAGACCCGAAATGACAAATGTCGGCTTTGTTGAAAAACCGTCAACAGTATAACAGATCGTAAACATGTTTATAATTTAATCATAAGTTGAAGAATCAACAGTTTATGCAGAACAATTAATTGAAGTGAGTTAAGTTGAGGATGTTTTTAAATGAAATTACATTTGATTAATTTAATTAAAACTACTTTTACGGCTTAATCTCACGTTGCTTTTTTCGTGCAGATCTTAACGCGCTTTGAGAAAACGCTATGTCTTCTCAACGTAAAACAGCTTAATCGTCGTGACCACAAAAGCGGTAAAGTGTCCGAAACGTCAAAAATAATATAATGCTAATAAAATATCCAAGATTTAACCGAAGAAAATACTATTGAATAACTATTTACGTTGATACCCATTTTATAAGATTTTGAATCTGAGCTATTTTATCTAAATGGAATATTAGTTAGTTTTTGACGAATTCGAGTTAAGTAATTATTACTTTTAAAGAACATTTCAAAACAAGGTGACTCTGAATTTTCTTCTTCTTTGACGTCTCTATTATTATTTATGTTATTTAGTTTGTTTGAGATGTTTTATTAATGGGGCGATTTTAATGCAGAAAATTATGTAAGTAATGCTCGGAGCTTTTCATATTTAGTATTTGTCCATTTTCATTGAACTATCTTTCCTCGCAAATAGAACTTTCCCGTGGATTGATAATCCAAATAAAATATGTATCAGAAATACTTGACATGAAAAAAAAAAGTTAAAAAAAATTGAATCATATGTCTTACGAATGAGTAGTCGCATTTATGTCTAAAATATTAAGTATATAACTTTACAGTTCATTGGGCCGAAAAATCAGAGGGGACAGTGATCTCACACACATTAAAGACGATGTATACTTCAATCAAACCCGTTCAAGTGTGAAATAAATGGAATAAACCTCAGGGATGAAAGCAATGACGGTAGATTTAACCTTCTGATAATAAACAAGTGGGATCCATCAAATCGAATTCACATGCACAAAATGTTTAAATTGTGAACGTGTCTCGGAGGTTTTGGTACCATTTTCTTATTTTCTGATGTAGGTACATTAAATATACAAACGTATAAGTGTATTTTTTTTTTTATTTTTTTTTTATTGTTAGATGGATGGACGAGCTCACAGCCCACCTGATGTTAAGTGGTTACTGGAGCCCATAGACATCTACAACGTAAATGCGAAACCCACCTTGAGATATAAGTTCTAAGGTCTCAGTATAGTTACAACGGCTACCCCACCCTTCGAACCGAAACGCATTACTGCTTCACGGCGGAAATAGGCGGGGTGGTGGTACCTACCCGTGCGGACTCCCAAGAGGTCCTACCACCAGTGATTACGCAATTTACAATTTTGCGGGTTTGATTTTTATCACACGATGTTATTCCTTCACCGTGGAAGTCAATCGTGAACATTTGTTAAGTACGTATTTCATTAGAAAAATTGGTACCCGCCTGCGGGATTCGAACACCGGTGCATCGCTTCATACTTCATACGAATGCACCGGACGTCTTATCCTTTAGGCCACGACGACTTCGTGTTCTATTATACTGCGTCTAATACAATCGGCCATGGAAATTAAAATCTTATATTTCCTTTTTTTATATATATAACTAAAACCTTATTAACTTATTAAAACCTTACCTTAGGCATTTGAATCCTTCGTGTTCTAACCGGTGAGAGGACGGGTCTGTGGGTCTGCATATATTAAATGTGTTAAGGGAAAGTTGTGGCAGTATCTAGAGTTGGCCGGGGTCACACGTACCTGTATTCCCATATGAATAGCCACACTGATTATAATCAGTGTAGAATCTTTTGACTCAATTTGACACTTATACACACATCGTCTTTGGAAACGAATTGTAAAAAAACTAAAAGTGCATTCGTAATGTATATCTTAGTTAGATTGAAAGATTCCATTACTAACCACTCTTTATCTGCATTGTCTGCTCAATTCGACGGTATTACATTACCATTTATCCGAAGTACACTCAGTAAGAGTTATGATGATAATACAACTATAACATAAATTTATATTAATAAATGGGTATAAAAATAATTGAAAACGTGACATAATTTTAGATAGATAGATATTTTAATTTTAAATAGGCCTTTGTTTAATATCGTCAGTACTGTACCATAGAAGTTGATATTTGATATTAGTTTCAATTGAATGAAATCGATATCTCTATCCGTTATTGAGAAAAAAGGTTTTGCCAGACAACATGGTATAGGATTGCGTCTTTTCTTTTTGATGTCTAACTAGATACAGACAATATTTAACTAAGAAAGAAAAGCTTAAGTTACGCTATGAACAATTCGGAGGTGAAAAACTTGTAATGCTGTATTATTTAATTTTAATGACTTAAGATAGAGTTTATTTCTATGTTATTGAGGCCGGAAACATACTTACGAAAAAAACAGAAGAAATCTCAAGCTACGAGAACCGATCATCTTTAAAAAAGACATTGACTTCGACCGGGAATCGAATCAACACATCGATTTAATAAACCTGACAGACAAATTTATAACAAATTAGTAGTAATAATTTTTATTTATAATAATAAACGATTTTTTCTTACTTTAAGCTCCAAATTAAGACAGTAAAATATGAGTATTTTTTAAAATATATATTTTGCCAAAGTGATTGATCACCGAACTGGCCCTTTTGAGCCAGAAATTGGAAAAACGGGCGAGATTAAACACATTAACCCAGAACTGTCAATTGTTGAAGTGTACTGGATACTGTGACAATAAACGAGCACTAGCGTAGGCGGTTAATATCGGATATCTTTTTATTTGTGTTTGGGTAATGTTATTCCTTATCTACTTGCTAGCTCAAGAGTTGTAATTCGAAGATAAAAAAAGGCCATTAAGAAAATACCTAAGCCTAAGAATCGATTTCATTTATGACTGTATTTAGAAATGAATAGCTAATTAATAAAATAAACAAATATATATTTATTTATATAAACATTGAACATTAGCTTGAAATCGTGAAACAGATAACCAGAATTGTGAAACTTTTGTAAGCTTGTATCTAAAGTTTTCGGGTTGGTCTAATGTTGTCTAGAAATAACAACATGGGCAAGGCCGTCCGTGATGGATATTCTTAAAGTATATTCCAAAGTGAAGATTCATCTATTTGTTTAAGCCGGTTAGATTAACGTTTGGATTAATTTTACAATTAAAATATCGTATGTAGGCGTGTATTATCCCTTGAACCGATCTCAGTTTCGGAGATTACTGATTTCAGTGCTTAACGAACTGTTCGCTACCATGCAAATTGATGATAAGTTTCAATTCTCAATTTACATAAGCCTGAGACGTAACGTTTCCCTATTTTTATATTTAGTTATTGGAGCGATTGAGCCTTGGTAAAAGGTTTTTGATTTAAGTTACTAAAATTTGTTTGTCTGTTTTTTACTGGTGGTAGGACCTCTTGTGAGTCCACACGGATAGGTACTAACGCTCCGCCTATTTCTACCGTGAAGCAGTAATGCGTTTCGGTTCGAAGGGCGGGGAAGCCGTTGTAATTATACTTGAGACCTCAGAGCTTATATCTCAAGGTGGGTGGCGCATTTGCGTTGTAGACGTCTATGGGCTCCGGTAACCACTTAACACCAGGTGGGCTGTGAGCTCGTCCACCTATCTAAGCAATAAAATAATAACAATCAATCGATATTAAAGTTAGGGCTTGGAAAACAAGAAGCGATAAAGGTCTCAGTATTCAGAACTCGATCTTCCATCAAGCTGGTGAAGTTGCCCGGTAGGCCGATGGACCAAATGTTGCTTCGGAACTTGTATATCAGCAAACTTATCTTGAAAATGTCGTTGGCGAGAATCAGGCATCTGTCAAATATCTTGTGTTCTATCCGCTACATACGTCCGCTTCACACGTTGTGGCTTATAAAAAAAACCTCAGAGACACTCCATTGAGTTTCTCATTTGATCGCGATTCCGGTCTGGTAGTAGATTCTGCGAAGCATTGCTCTTGCTAAGGCTAGTGTTAGCAAACGTTTGGTTAGAGCCCCGTGAGCTCACATACTCGCCCGGTGAATCTGGTGTGACCCCTCGAAGTCACTAGAATATGAAAAAAAAGTAGCATAGCGATAGTATAACATGTATGGACATATTTCTTGTCGTTTTACTTTTCGATTATCCAATCCTATATCACATGAACACATGTTCCGTGCACGATTTACTTATTCGTTTAGGTCGTAATAGATGATTTCCGTGCAACAATACAACAAAGCCAAGCTCCACTACACACTGTTTATGATTCTTTCATATAAAGTGGGATTAACAGGTCTTTTGTGTTCGGAAATTTAGTTCTTCTTTATTCAAGTTACACAGCATGTTTTTTTTTCATGTTTTTGTGGCCATTACTGGTACATTACTGTGGCCATAACTGGTTCACGCAGTTATAATATTATGAGCGTGTTTTTGGAAGTATGCCGATGTAATTGGAAGTTTTCTAATTTCGAAGTAGTCGTTTGAAAGACACACGCTGTACGCAATGAAGCCATGAAAACATGTAATGAGTTTAGTTCGAAAGACCGAAGTGTGTGTATAAATGTTAAGTGAAGAAGGTATTTAAAGTAGTTTACTGGTCTATTTCAAGTTTTAAGTACCAAGGGAATTTATTTTCAGGAATTCTTAACCA